TTATGTCGTTTAATTTCAGTGGTTACGTAATTTAGACAAGAAAAATAACTACAAGTTAACTGAATGAAAACTCGCATAGCCATATATGGCGCATGATGTCACCGCATGTTGATGGTCTTGAACATAAGTTGTTGTCTATGGATTACGTCAGGTCGTGGGCTGTACTTACGTGGGCTCTACCTCAAGGCGACTTGGACCTCACACTTATTGCAACGGCCTCATATTAAATTGATAAATGACATAGAAGTAAAATATCTTACTCCGACTTACTTTTTCTTATTTTTTTCTGAAACGAATCATTAATTATTATATTTTTCAGTTGATCAATGCCAACCAAAGTTGTTTGTAAGCGAATAGCGTTTTGGTAAGACCCTATAGTATAAGCACACGAAAAAAGCGTGAGAGTTACTTTTTACAATTCACCGCGTACAATGGTATTGGCTGCAAGTTCCGAGGCAGCTTTCCTTTCGAGTAAGTGTGTCGAGCAACGCCACTTTGTTGGTCGATGTTGTCTGAGACAAGTGCAATTACTTTCTAGAACAGATATTATTTTGTACCGAGTTAATTGATCTTTTGTAGAAATTCTTTTCACTCAGTAAATTTAGGTATTGTTGCTTAAAGCCTAGTCTGTAAAGGCAACATTGTTAATAGTCCTGGATTCGAATAAGCCTTAACTTCGTAATCTGTATTTAGAAGCTTAGGGCATTAAGTTCAGAACTAAATATTTGGTATACATCGGTGGGTCATCCACTGTCTGTGTGTCATAAGTAAAAAGCCTAATTATAAAAAGGGCATACAAATTATGTAAATTGTCCTTTGAAGTACCTTTCCGGTAATTCCCAGGTAGGTTACCAATCAATACGAAACTTTAACAGCTGCGCGCGCTGTATTGTCCTGTCGATCAATAGGCAGTTGTCACGCGAGAACTTTTAGGTATTTTATAGGGTTGGATACCTGCCGTGGGGTGTTGTAATGCCTTACCCAAGTCTAAAGACATCTTGTTCGTGCCCTATGGTACACGGTAATGTTCTTTTCCGATTTGTTTTCGCATATTATGTCAAATATATTCTAGTCTATTTGTTCATGTAATAGCTAGGTACAGTAACTTTTCTAGACTAATGTATAACTAGTAGTACTCGAAGAAAGTGATCACTCTAATTGAAAACAGTTAGTTGGATCATTAATTTAGGATCAAAAAGTTAATATTTCATGTTTTGTTTCCTGATATCATGCTTTTTTATTCATAAAAGTGAGAGTAAAGGATTTTGGGTATTAAGAGAAACAAAGAAATTTTCAACATAATTTTTTTATTTCATTTCACTTTGGGAATGTATCACGCGAGTGATCCCGTTGTTCGAGCAAATTAATATTCCTCAGCACCTTCGCCCTCACCCTCGGCAGAGTCCATGCCGACCTCTTCGTAGTCCTTCTCGAGCGCGGCGAGGTCCTCGCGGGCCTCGGAGAACTCGCCCTCTTCCATACCCTCACCGACGTACCAGTGCACGAAGGCACGCTTGGCGTACATCAGGTCGAACTTGTGGTCGAGACGAGCCCATGCTTCCGCGATGGCGGTGGTGTTGGACAACATGCAGACGGCGCGCTGCACCTTGGCGAGGTCGCCGCCGGGCACAACAGTGGGTGGCTGGTAGTTGATGCCGACCTTGAAACCGGTGGGACACCAGTCCACGAACTGGATGGTGCGCTTGGTCTTGATGGTCGCGATGGCGGCGTTCACGTCCTTGGGCACGACGTCACCACGGTACAACATGCAGCACGCCATGTATTTGCCGTGACGCGGGTCGCATTTTACCATCTGGTTGGCGGGCTCGAAACAAGCGTTGGTGATCTCGGCCACCGACAGCTGCTCGTGGTACGCCTTCTCGGCGGAGATGACGGGTGCGTATGTCACCAGAGGGAAGTGGATACGCGGGTAGGGCACCAAGTTGGTCTGGAACTCGGTAAGGTCGACGTTGAGGGCACCATCGAAACGCAGGGAGGCAGTGATGGAGGACACAATCTGACCAATGAGTCTGTTCAGGTTGGTGTAAGTGGGGCGCTCAATGTCGAGGTTGCGGCGGCAGATGTCATAGATAGCCTCGTTGTCGACCATGAAGGCGCAGTCAGAGTGCTCCAGAGTGGTGTGGGTGGTCAAGATGGAGTTGTACGGTTCGACGACTGCGGTGGAGACCTGGGGGGCGGGGTAGATGGCAAATTCGAGCTTGGACTTCTTTCCGTAGTCTACAGAGAGACGTTCCATCAAGAGAGAAGTGAAACCAGATCCGGTGCCACCGCCGAAGGAGTGGAAGATGAGGAAGCCCTGGAGTCCGGTGCATTGGTCGGCGAGCTTGCGGATGCGGTCAAGGACCAGGTCGACGATTTCCTTGCCGATGGTGTAGTGACCACGCGCATAGTTGTTGGCCGCGTCTTCCTTACCAGTGATAAGTTGTTCTGGGTGAAACAACTGTCTGTATGTACCAGTGCGAACCTCATCTGTGAACAAAGAGATTACGATTAAAAATCACATCTTATGTGCAAAGTACATCTCACAATAGTAAGACACTTTGATCTCGAAAGTATTTTTTAATCAACTTACCAACTACTGTAGGCTCCAAGTCGACGAAGACAGCCCTGGGAACGTGTTTGCCGGCGCCAGTCTCGCTGAAGAATGTGTTGAAAGAGTCATCGCCACCGCCGATGGTCTTGTCAGTGGGCATCTGACCGTCAGGCTGGATGCCATGCTCAAGACAGTACAGCTCCCAGCAGGCATTACCGATCTGGACACCAGCCTGGCCAACGTGTACGGAGATGCACTCACGCTGTTGGGGAAAAAAATAATCGTTAATAAATATTATAATAGCAGTAAAAATTATCATAAAAAATTACAAGCAGTGAAATCGGCGAAAGTACTAAACACCGGTATGTAACGGGTAATTCGACTCGATATCTCTACCAACTATGTTATAGAATGACCCGTAAAACTTCGTAAAAGAGTCATCGCTCAATCATTAATCTTATCAATCAACTAATTTTAGTAATGATTACTAACAAACGGCGAATAAACATCAATAAATCAAGGGCGTGGCATCCTTGATCCCCAGCGACCGAAATGTCACATTATTCAATTTGACGGCAAGAATAACAAGAAGTCATATTAAAAGTTAGAATTCAAGACAAACTCTTGCATTCTTTACTTGAAATACAGAACGCCACACCCGACCTCGTGGACATTTTACAGATCTCGCGCTAAGGCGCCGACAAAATGGCGTCACCACCCGGCGTATTGTCGCAAAACACGATTTCACTGCTTTTGCGGGGAAGAAATTGTTGAAAATAGATTAAGACCCGTAAAGAAAGGTTACTTACCATTTTGAAATGAGTTGTGTTGAACTTAATGTAGATTTAAATTAATAAATTAATCAGTCGACGTTCCGCAGGACCGGTTAAGAGGTTTGCCGAACGTATAATATCGTGAAAATTCCGTTGGCCAAGTATTTATAGTGCCGGCGCCTCGGGAAGCGACGCTCCTCGTCGCGAGCTCTGATTGGTGGATACCACTGCCGCATGGGCGTATCGACCAATAAGGTTAAAGCTGCATTATATCACCATTGCAGGAATATGTGGGCTACTGCTGATTCACGCGCCTTTTAGTGACTCGACCGTATTTATGTCGACATCGATGTTTTTGCAAAAAATCTCTACGCATTACTTTTCGCTAGAAGAGAAGTATTTTTATTTATAAATTGTTTTGTGCGGATTTCGCGTTAAAGTTTATCTCCTAGAATATTGTGCAGTTCGCACTTCAAGGTACGAGGAAAACATGCACTTCAAATTATGAAATTACCCAATCCTATTTAATAAGAAAAATATGTTTAACGTTTTTTTTTAATGTGAATATTAAATTTATGTACATAAAACACATTGTTCTCGACAACTACGACTTACTACGAATTTTTATAATTATGTTATCGCCGCTTGTTTGCCCCATTTTCGTATAAAAGAAAAATCTTTGGGTTTATAATGAAACAGTCAACAGTAGTAATGATGTATTCTGTCCTTGAGAACGCAAAATGATTCATCATCGTTAAAAGAGTTGTGCTGGGGTAATTTCTCTGGTGCCATAGTCACGTAAATGCTTTAGGATATTGGTGGTCACATAATGCTTTTCATTATTGTCATATGTTTAACAACGATATAACTGTATCTTTATCTTTAGTAAAAATGTGTTTTATAAAGGAAGGTTGATGCATTTTTAAAATTATATGAAAATATATCGATAAAGTTGTCGCCAGAGAGCGCTACACTAAAAATCGTTATTTTCGTTGGAAGCGAGTCCACTCACACATTCACAACTTTTACGTCTGCGACAATTTCCTCGGATTGCATACAATAGGAGATCTGTTTTCAATGTTCTTCATGTTAAAAATTAAGGCTTACGCTTAAATCAATGGTTCTAGAATTCTAACTTTGTAATTAATCATCAAGTTATACTCAAAAACAATGTTGCTTATTACGCACACTAACGTAGATGTTCACATATTTACGCCACTTCCATAAATGGACATCTTGGAGTCTCGCCAAAGTTGCGGGAAAGGCGAACAAATTTAAAACAGTGTCTGCGTTGTCCCACGTCTAAATATATTTAATTCAGTAAGAATAAGGTTAACACAATTTTTATTTTTTAATTAAGAGAAGATCGTTCATATAGGTGGTGTTGTAAATGCGATAGCGTAAATAAAAACAAAGTATAGATAACCAGAGAAATGAATAAAATGTAAAAGATAACAATATGAAATACTGAAAATTAATGTAAGGTTTTTGAAATAGTTTATAACATTGGATAAAATTGAATGTAATAAATTTGCAATTTTTCCAATAAGTAATAACACTTTTAACGCCATCTTTGGACGCGTTAAGACACTGCTTGGTGGTTGATTGTTTAAATTCTCTTTTAAATTTCGAATTAGCGCCATCTACAATCGAACCAGAATTCAAACATTCCTGTCAAATGTCAATTGTCTGTGTTGTCAATTTGATATTGATAACCTTAAAGCATAGTTAAAAAGAATTGTGATTATTTTGTACTACTTGTAAATAATCTTTATATATTAAAGTGAAATGTAAAACTGTCTTGTCATAATTACCTGTGTTTTATACGTTTAAGGTTATAATTCGCTTGTTACACCGCAATAGACATAAGAAGAGAATTTAGGTTCGTATTACTTTTACTTAACATTTTATAAATATGTTGCTTACGTTACAAGAAATTTGAGACATTTTTTGCTATATTTTATAGTCATAACAGTATGGAATCATGTCCATCAACATAAAGTTAAAAACTAGCATGGTATAATAATTATAGTTGCTTCATGTTGAATTGTTACGATATTAAATGTTTCAGTATTTTCTCGGACAATCGTCATTAAATTATTTAAATTCACGTGTTTATAAATATGCTTTAATACATAATATCAATTAAATGTGATAATTACAAAAGCTCCGGAGGTTATAAATGCCAACGTGCCAACTTATACTAAAAACTGCTTACATCACTTGCCTGTGAATGTCAACGTAAAATGTTACATAAAAACCCGGACATAAAGTTTAATTTAGAATGTTGTTTGTATAAGTTACATTTTGATAATTAAAAAACTTTTAGAGATATGGTTATAAATTACGAGATTTTACTTCTAAATTTAAGTTATAGAAGTAATATGTGAAGGGGTTCTAACTTAGGCTAGAAAATTAATCGTACACACATGAAATGTTCCTGATAATGAACGTTTTCTTATATCACAGCATATTCTTAGCCTCTTCCCCTTATTTTAATCTTTTAATAACAAAAGAATAGTAAGGCGAGCTCGATTTAGCAGGTGGTCAAGTATTGGTCTAGTTTAGTTTAGGTAGTTTCTGCACATCTCCGTGACCAATAGAGAACTACTCAAAATCCAGCGTAATTTGAATTTAAATAATACTTAAAACCCCGCGGACTAATTTGAAATTATTACCATTAGTTTTAAATAAAACGGTTTGTGTTCGAAAAATCATGTTAAAAATAACTCATAACTCAAAAACTACATGTATTTCATAAAAAAAATAGGTTCACAAACATGTTGATAAGTGCTCCCTTTGGATAAAAAAAAACTGTAGCCCAGATTATCGGGTAGCGCTGTAGTTAGCAAGGCTTTTGTAAATTTTCTGATTGTAATTACTTATCTGGAAAACGGTTCACTCCTTTGCTACCTTGCTACCTGAATTATAAAAAAAAACAGCCGTAACTGTTAATCTCTAAAATGTAAATAATTTTCTTCGTTATCGTCGTTTACGAACCATGTATAATTACAAAGAAAAAAAAATAAGTCTGTTTCATTCCTTTGATAACAAAGTGAAAGGGACAAAAACAGTAAACGAGATGACGTATCCGTTCCGTTTTTCCGCGCCGTGTTGAACGCGAGCGCGCGAAGCATCGCCTAATATATTTCATTCCGCGCGCGATCGCTGGCTGTAAACGCTTGCGCAGCAACGAATTTACGAAATTTGAATTTGCCTCCGCGATTTAAATTATAAAAACTCAGTTGTGCTCCTATAATAATGAATTAAATTTCCCAGTGAATATTGAGTGTATGTGTTGTGATAGTTTTGAAGTAGAGTTATAGAAGTTTTTTATTCACTGTGAGTATTCTTTTTCGCTTTTAAATTGTTTATTTTTTATGACCTTCCGAGTCATATATCTCGAATGATGCCAAAATGTCGCAACGTATTTTTCTTTGATATAAAAGTAGTTCCTGGCCTTTTATGGTCGTTTGTACTCCGTTACTTCTCGGATACGGACCGCGTATAGGATGGAAGGCAGGATCTAGACTCGCTCGGGGCTAAGCTGAGATCTGAGAGTACGGTATTGTACTGAATTATCTAGTTTGTTCAAATGTCACGGATATATTGCGTCGTGACTTTCTCAAAGCTATCGCAGAACAATATTAATTGTTTCTATTATGTTAGGTATAATGTCAATTTTATAAAATTTAGAATTGACTGAAAACAAAGAAATAGTTTGCGAATATTGTGGAAAATGGGATATAAAATTTATTATTTGGATGTTACTGGAACTGAAAATGACGCCCGAAAACAATTCGTAGATTATTTGCATAGGAAATATCTACTACTTTAATATTAATGGTGTGTACTTAAAATGCATGCGTATTAATAAACAAATAAGCAGTATTTAAAAAGTGAACTTGAAGGATTGATGATGGTAATTTAAATTTTTTTTAACTTTTATAACTACCCACACATTATTAAACAATTATTATACCATGCTAAAGTTAATTTAAAGCAAGTACATAAGACTTTATTCTTTTATTTTCCTTCTCATTATGGTAAAGTTTTGATATGTATCAATCTTACCATTTATGGCTAACGTAAGTAACAATGTTTACTTAACAAGTAAGAAACATAAAAAGAATGTAACTTATGTCTTGTTTTCACTTAAAAGGATATAAAAATTGCTATTCACCTTTCATAAAATCTAAGGTCAGAAATAAAGCATCTGACGAAAAGTTTTACACATCTAAAACCTGTGGCTTTTCATCAGATGTAGAGTCCTGTAATATAATTCATTGAAGCAATTTTAAACAGGCTCAAAGATGTCGCCACCACCGAAAGGGAAAGCGCCTACAAAGGGCGCCAAGCAAATCCTAGCCGAGAATACTGCTACAGTTATGTTCTATCGAAATATGTCTCTAGGCGCTACTGCATTATTCAATATAATAACTTTTGTATTCTTCTATGAACAAATGACAACGTCAGTTATATTTATGAATGTTTTGGTAACAATTATCTACGTAGTTTGCTATCAAATGATGAAATTTATAAGTCGGCCGAAGTACACCGCAGAGAATGTATTACTCGATCCTGGACTAGACCTGAACATGGAAGGAGGTATGGGAGAGCACGTGAAAGATATAGTCATATTGTCTTCTATCACCCATCTTCTTGCTCTAATCTCCAATTACTTCTGGCTCCTTCTACTCTTGATTCCACTGAGAGGGTTCTGGCTGGTCTGGGTCAACTTCCTCGGGCCGTGGTTCTTCCAAGAAGCACCAGAAGATACGGAACAAGATGAGAAGAAACGAAAGAAGATGGAAAGGAAAATGAAACGCTATCAGCAATAGATTTTTAATTTGAGGCATTGATATTACTGTTTGTATATTATTTCTGCAGGAGCATAATTCATAGGATACTAAAACTTTTTATAATGTTACTCGTAGTTTTTAAATAAGTAGACTCCTAAGGTCCTAAATGCTTTGGAAGTTGCCCGAATCACTTATTAGGTTTACAATTCTGTATATATAACCTGTTTGTTATGAATGGGCGTCGTTGAACACCTTGGTGTTATCGCTGCTCGTTTGCCCCCTTCTGTTATAAAAAAAAAATACTTTTTTATTATTTGGATTATTCTCTATGGATATTTCTCGCCTCTGTTGTGACTTTTTTCTTATCTATATTGTGACAACTGCAAAGTATTTTCTTATACGAAATTTTGGCCATATTTGGGTTCATAGTTTTTTGTATATTTAAATAAGTATTTACACGGAAATCCTCACCTTAAGAATATATCTGTATAATTTTATTAACTCTACGTAAAATATCTTTTAAATAAACTATGTATTGGTAAAAGACGACTGAATAAAACATTTTCAATTATTTATTGTTTGTATTTACAGAGAACTGGTGTTATTTTTACTAAAAACCTTAATAAATACCTCGAACTTACTGTTTTGTGTAATTTAACCATAACGTATTATCTTACAATTATAATATAAAGCTTGAAAGTTTTAGTTAGAATTTTCATCGTGTTAAGGTTTTTATTGACATAATATGTAACGAAGTAAAAGATTGATTCTTTGTATGCTTCATTACTAAAGGTCGTGCTTGTCTTGATATGCCTTAACAGCTGCGTCGATTAGCTGCATCCACGCCGTCCTGTCTTTGGCTTGTCTCAGGGCAGTCGTGATATTGAGTATGTTGAGAGAAAAGATTGATTAGAGTTATTGGAATATTAAAAACCAACATCTACACATATCCCATAAATCTTACAAAACAACTTTAGTGTGTTGGTCTTGAATTGGAAATTGGAGATGGAAAAAAGAAAGAAACGATAAGAAGATTCATAAATTAAGGTATACATAAGAACAATTGATACAATTTCCTTTGACTCCCTGGCCCTGAAAAAGCCTAAAAATCGAGTTCTGTTTACAAAAAAAAACCCGTTTCATAATGTGTGAGTCAAGTCGAACAGAAATATCCATGAGCACTGGTGACTGCATCTCATCAATGGATGACGCGTTGCGGTTACGAAGCTTACGAGGCCCTCCAAATAGCTCAATTAGCTAAAGCGATAGGGAAAGGAATTAGAGGAATCATTGCTCATTTATTTGGTATTATTTATGACTAGCCAAGTTCTAAGATGAATAAAATGACATTATCATTTGATTTTAAAAATCGTTAAAGGGTCACCGCGTAAAGTGGAAAGCGTTGAGCAAGGCCTTTGTCCGGCAGTAGATTGACTCAAGCTGATGATAAACTTGACTATCTCTTTGACAAATTATGGAACTACTAGCGGTTGCCCGCGACTCATCCGCGCGGAATAAAAAAACATAATTAACAGCCTATGTGTTCTTCCAGACTATGTTCTACATCTATGCCAAATTTATTCAAGATCCGTTCAGCCGTTCTGGAGATACCTTGAAACAAACATCCATCCATCTAAATATTCGCATTTATAATATTTGTAAGATGGATTGCTGTCTATTTTATAAATTGTCATTCAGTTTCAAAACTAATTTGTTTTATTCACATGTAATATTTTCTATTTGTGTTTGGATTAGTATGAAATATTTAAAATGCAACAAAGAAAGCTTGTGGAATACGTAATTAATGATTCAGATAGAAACTGGGAACTGACGATGACCAATACATAAAGCAGATCTTACGTGGGCTGATGAATGTAGTCAACTGTATCGAAAATAATATTCTATTTACTGTTTACGCTAACGATTTTGTTTTTAATTTTGTTTCGACTTAATGTTCATATCGGAACATTTAAAACATATTTTCTCATTTTATATCAAAAACAGATACAGTATGTTTCAGCTTTGTTATTTATTTTACAGTTGTGGACAATTAATGATAAAACTATTCGTTTCTAAACTACGAAGCTTGGGAGGTTTTTGATATCTGTGTAAATAAAGCTTAAATTTGCTATAAACTGAAAGCAATCCACTGTTTTGTAAAGGGAATTACATGCATGCAATATGTTTTGTGCCAACTTTGGTATAATAATGAAATCATCCTTATACGACACATATTTTTATTTACATGTATAATCTGGTCCTTCGTTGTCTATTTAAGTCTTGATTTAGCCTAGCTTAGTTAATCTGTATGCTGTTACGTTGCATATCTTGCGTTTCCCGTTCCGGGTTACGACTGTAATATAAACAAAGAATTATGCTTGTCATCTTCAAATATAGCCAGGTTGGTCTGTCGTGGGTGCAGAACCCCATGATTTGCGGGGGTATTTCTTATTTTGAGTTAATGTTAGCAAAAAAAAAATGGGTCCTCGCTTCTGATTCTCAGAATCCTCATTTATTTTTTGTAGCATCGTTAATTTCCTAAACCATAGGAAAAGAGAATTTAGAAATAATTACTGTTAATATTTTGTGTGGAATTTAACTACAGAAACCCCTGTTCCTGCGTTACTTGGGTGGTCCTTTAATGTCCTTGGGTGAAGTAGAAATAGTATTTGAACACGTGCGTAAAATGGTACGCTATTTCTAAGAAAACAATAACTTTAGCGCGAGTAAACATTGCCCGCTGATCTCATATCGAGGGCGCTAATATTAAAACTTGGCGTTCATCCACACTGGCTACACATATACAAGATTTCAGCAATCATATACGATTTGAGCTTGTTGACATCATTTCGAATATACAATGTCTTTTTAAAAATTGTATAGGGCAACATTTTATTATCTACTAGCTGGCGCCCGCGCCCCCGTCCACACGGAATTAAAAATAAACATAATTAGTAGCCTATGTGTTCTTCCAGATTATGTTCATGTGCATGCCAAATTTCAGCAAGATCCATATAGCCGTTCTGGAGATACCTTAAAAAAAACATCCATCCATCCAATTTATAGTATAATAAGAAGTAAGACTTTGCACATTCCTGAAGCGGCTTACCATGAGTTTCTAAGACCTAAATCCCCGTTTAAAATATATTGCTATCTCCGTTTTTTTTAAAAGATAATGACAGGGATGACGATATGTTCTATACAGAGATATTGGTGTCAGAAGCCCACGGTTACTGCTGCACGAGTATCGTAATTGTTCTAAAGGAGACCCTTAGCATAGATTTAATATGCTAAATCTTCAAAAAAGACTAGGTACGGCAAATAAACGTTATGTACATATTTGCAGAAAAATTGGTAGAAGTAATACGTGTATTATGTCATTTCTCAGCCTTGCAGAATGTGCAATGTTTTTTCCTTATTATTACGCCAGAAGAACCCAGTAAGGTCATTCAACGTCTGCAGGCTATTTACTCGGAATATATAATGTGTCATATGTTACGTGCTCAGTGTTACCAGTTCCAAAATAACCGCAGAATTATGTCACGGTCCTTCGTAATTATGATATGTTTTAAAGAAAATGTAATCATCCATTACGTTTATTTTTTTATTTGTTTATTGTGAATTAAAGTAGCTGACGATTCCATATTTACATTGGTAGAATAAGAAAAAAAAGAAAAACGATGTGTATCTTTCAGTCTTATTCAGAACGGCTTATGTGAGTTCATAACATTTATAATAACTAGAGTAGTTATTTCATTCTCTAATCTACAAAGGTTAGGTGGGTAGACAGGCATAGAACACATGGAGAAACATTGGGCATACCAAAACTTAATAAATCACCATACAATGCCCAATTAATTGCTTCTTTAACTGCACTCAGAGTGGACTAAACAGCTACCTAGTGTGGATTTCTTAAACCAAATATGATTTAGCGATGAAAACCTGAAAAAGTGTTTAAATTTTAAGACATTCTTACATAATTAAGTCTTTTTGTTATCATTCATCGCATAAATATTTAGCTGTATTATGTAAAGTTCTTATCTAGATTTTTATACGTACAAACACATCATTAAAACCTTGAGCACGTTTCTTTACTTGATACGTTTTTTCTTCCAAAATATACGTGGTATTGCATTATGAAATGGCATTGTTGAAATTTAAGGTAACTTCAAAAATCTACTTAATTTACTATCTACTTTTCAGTGATAGCTCAGGGGTTAACCTTGACTTGTAATCTGCAGGTCCTGGGTTCGAATCTGGTCATGTATAATTCGATTTACACATGTACATTTATCCTTACTGTGAAGGAAAACATTGTGATGCTGCACATGTAGAAGAAATTCAAAGATATGTGTGAAGTCAACCCGCACTGGGCTATCGTGGTTTACTATGGCCTAGGCTCTCATAGGGTTGGCTCCGAGCCCCTCAATAGGGACTTATAGTGATCTGATGATGATGAAGCTTCATTCATATAGAAACTAATACTTAGGCGTTGGTAATAAAAACTTTAAATGTGACCATAAATGTTAATTTGGTGAATCGCGTGAAGGTCAGCATTCGAGACGGTTCATGGTAAAAATACGTTCGGTGCAAACAGAACCAGTCTGACAAGTTTTAGTATTGTTTGAATTTTACATTTCCGCTCGCACATAATGTCCGTCGACTGCAAAAAGTTTAGATAAGCATATACTGACTGTAGTCAGAAAAATTGAAACTTTGGTTTTTAGCAAGGATCGCTTACAACGAAAGCTATCTTGTCAAATTGTATAGTCTAAGCCAGGGGTGATGAACTATAGCACGCATACCATTTACTTTGCGACACAATATTTTGGGCAAGTCCCTTATAAGAAAATTAATTATGCACTAAGAAAAAGACTACGGTTTTTCGAATGTATATGTTCACTTTATCTCAATCAGACTTTCAGGAGAAGGATTTTAATGATTTCTCATGAAAAAACATTTTCTTGAATAAACTGGAATAAGAGAAATATAGTGGACTCTAGTAACTCTACTATATAGAATTATGCAATCGTTTATCTTAGCTGTACGTAAGTGAAAAAAGCTAGACATTTGAATGCAAATATGTCTAGACAGGCAGAGAAAGTTGTGATGTAATTTGGATACTTTGTAAGATGTGATATATCCTTACTTACAAAAAACTATTTTTTATTCAATTCCATAGACAAATATTTTTATTAACTATTTAAAAGTGAACTAGTGAAGATCAAAACAATTTGGGTTATCGACATATCGATATATTTACATTAATTTAAAAGGAAGTAAATCAATTGTGAAAATGTATCGGAAGATGTCTATCGATATATGTCGAATAAATAGGTCAGCACTACTGCAGTGCACTAGTGATGTAACTTCCTGGCAGCCCACTTGGCCGACTCCCAGCCGCCAGGTAACGAATAAACTCGATTATACTTGACACGTCATCCACGCAATCTTAATTTTAACTTGCCATTTAATCGCTTTTTACCTATATTAAACTAGCTGACGCCCGCGATCCCCTCCGTGCGTGTTAAAATAACCTTAATTAATAGCCTATTCTTCTTCCAGATTTGAATGCCAAATTACATCGAGATCCGT